AGCTTTCTGTTAAAGTGGGACAGAATATGAGGTTTGACTTGGGCATGGTGTAAGAATAAGGCTGAGATGAATAATCTAAAGTAGAGTAAGTCGTTTGAAAAAATTGGGCAAATATATCGGCTATTGCCTGATCTGTGGTTCCCGTCATTTTTCGAACGACAGCGAGGAAGGAAAAGAATTAGATTTACGCTTGGTGTTAACAAAATTATTAAACTGTTTCGGGTCCTGAGAGAACTGGACCTTACAACGGTTTAAGTAACTATTATAACACTGAGCATTAAGCACGGTAAATCTTGACCGAGCACTTAGATATCTAGTAAAAACAGATTGAGAACCGGTATTTTTATATTTCCTAAAAAGTCTGGACTTTACATTTCTTAAGTGTGTCAACTCTTTGCTAAACCAAGGTGATTTATTGGAAGTTGACACAGGAATTAAAAAATGAGTTTATTGCAGTATAAAAAACATTAACTGCATCGGACATATTATTGCATAAGTAAAGATCAGACCAATTAAAGCCAGAAATAAAATTCTTAAGCCTCAGAAAGTCTGCCTTGCGAAAACAATGTATTCGTTTGGATTTTTCTGATTTTTCTTCTATAACTCTACCCGTATCAAATGAAAGTTCGATTGTTGGGTGATATGGATCTTCAGGTTGCGTGAGTGGTGCTACTCTGGACAGAAACACACCTTCAGGATTCGATACAAAACACAAATCAAGTAGGCGACCTAATGAATATCGAACATGGTTTACTTGAGATAGAGATATGTCAAGCAGGCCATCAATAAAATCATGTTGTGCTATAGGTAGTAAGACATTCGATCCATCCTCAGTGGACCAAGTAACTCCGGGTATATTAAAATCACCTAGAACTATCAACTGATCCCTATCGGAAAGCTTATTTGCAACGGACTTAATAACGGATAGGTGATTTAAATAATCAGGAAGTTCAGACAACGGCGGAATATAAGAGCAAGTTATGTATATAAAGTTATCAGGAAGCGATAACTTTACACAAATAAATTCAATGGTATTGAATTCATCAAAAAATAACTCCTCAGACGGGAAGTTTGAATCAACTCCAATTAAGACTCCACCTCCCCGTCTAGAGGGACGGTCATACCTATATATTGTGTACTTACCTGGAGCTAAAGATCTCCGGCTTTAACCAGGTTTCTGTGAACAAAATAATATGAGATGCAAAGGAAAGGCTATCAGAATACAATTTAGTGAGTTTGCTACGCAAACCTCTTGCATTCTGATAGGAAAGAAGGAGGTTAGAAGTTAGTTTTTTGAAATTGGTACACTGGTTTGGCCTCGACTAGGAAGTTTTACTCCCACGGGCCCCTTCTTCTTTATCTTAGCCTCGAACTCTTTTACAACCATATTATCCGGCCAAAAGTCGCCCGAGCATATGGCTTCAAAAAGCTCGTTAGGGACAGTTATCTTGAAAGATGAAATGTCTCTAGCATAAGAAAACTTAAACTTTTCCACCTTTACACTATTACAATCGGCTTTAGTTTTGTCTTGTATATAAGACAATACATCAGAAGATGTTTGATCAGGGGAAAGCCGAGAAACGAATATTTGATTTTTTAGTGGAACCACTAAAGGGATTTTGGTGGAGCAGACATTGTTTCTGGAAAACCAACTTGAGCCGGCTGTCCGGACTCAGTAGTCCCTTGTGGTGGAGATGCTACATTCTGAGAGATAGGTGGATCCACTAATTGTGAAACCACTACGGACAAATCGGAATTCTTAGAAGTCCCTGGTTGCATGCATTCTGTAACATATTGTTTGGATACCGAATCTTTTTTAGCTGCTGATCTTAGCAACATTTGAGGGTTTGCTGAAATCAGCTGCTGATCCGCCGGAATGCTCTGTTGTTCTAATATGATTTCGGTTGCGGGGTGTTCCCCTTTTGCTCCTTACCACCAGCGGCCTTTTTGCGCTCTTCCCCGCCGTTTCTCTTTTGTGCATGCACTTTAACTTATTTACGCTCCCGCTCTCTTGCTCTCTTTGCTTTGAAAGTTCTAAGCGTGCAGTTTCTGCGCTCTTGCGGTACTTATAACTGCTCGCTTATAAATTTCAATTCGTTTTCTTGGTACAGTGGTAAATAAATAAAATGAATAATAAAAATTTAGTCTGTTTCTGCAAAAAATGCAGCCTCGTTATCAGGGCTGACCAGTCGAATATGACTTGCTGGCTGTGTGAAAATATGGTGCACACCAAGTGCGCCGGTTTTACTGGCCGGACAAGTGATGACCTTTCAAAGGGGCCCAATTTGCAGTTTTGTTGTGACGCTTGTGTCGAGGTTGCGAACGAGATGAAATCGTTCATGCGCCAAACTAAAGGCGGCCTGATGGGGCTGATTAGCTGTTTCGGAGTGGCTAGAGATAGTTTTCGCCGAGCTGATGATCTCCTCTCTGCGCTGGACTGCAGTTTAATAGTCGTAAGCTATTAGAAGAGTCCCCTAAGCGCAAAAATGCATGCAACCAGGGACTTCTAAGAATTCCGATTTGTCCGTTGTGGTTTCACAATTAGTGGATCCACCTATCTCTCAGAATGTAGCATCTCCACCACAAAGGACTACTGAGTCCGGACAGCCGGCTCAAGTTGGTTTTGCAGAAACAATGTCTGCTCCACCAAAATCCCTTTAGTGGTTCCACTAAAAAATCAAATATTCGTTTCTCGGCTTTCCCCTGATCAAACATCTTCTGATGTATTGTCTTATATACAAGACAAAACTAAAGCCGATTGTAATAGTGTAAAGGTGGAAAAGTTTAAGTTTTCTTATGCTAGAGACATTTCATCTTTCAAGATAACTGTCCCTAACGAGCTTTTTGAAGCCATATGCTCGGGCGACTTTTGGCCGGATAATATGATTGTAAAAGAGTTCGAGGCTAAGATAAAGAAGAAGGGGCCCGTGGGAGTAAAACTTCCTAGTCGAGGCCAAAGCAGTGTACCAATTTCAAAAAACTAACTTCTAACCTCCTTCTTTCCTATCAGAATGCAAGAGGTTTGCGTAGCAAACTCACTAACTTGTATTCTGATAGCCTTTCCTTTGCATCTCATATTATTGTGTTCACAGAAACCTGGTTAAAGCCGGAGATCTTTAGCTCCAGGTAAGTACACAATATATAGGTATGACCGTCCCTCTAGACGGGGAGGTGGAGTCTTAATTGGAGTTGATTCAAACTTCCCGTCTGAGGAGTTATTTTTTGATGAATTCAATACCATTGAATTTATTTGTGTAAAGTTATCGCTTCCTGGTAACTTTATAAAAACAACTTGCTCATATATTCCGCCGTTTATTCCGCCTGATTATTTAAATCACCTATCCGTTATTAAGTCCGTTGCAAATAAGCTTTCCGATAGGGATCAGTTGATAGTTCTAGGTGATTTTAATATACCTGGAGTTACTTGGTCCACTGAGGATGGATCGAATGTCTTACTACCTATAGCACAGCATGATTTTATTGATGGCCTGCTTGACATATCTCTATCTCAAGTAAACCATGTTCGAAATTCATTAAGTCGCCTACTTGATTTGCGTTTTGTATCAAATCCTGAAGGTGTGTTTCTGTCCAGAGTTGCACCACTCACGCAACCTGAAGATCCATATCACCCAACAATCGAACTTTCATTTGATACGGGTAGAGTTATAGAAGAAAAATCAGAAAAATCCAAACAAATACATTGTTTTCGCAAGGCAGACTTTCTGAGGCTAAATAATTTTATTTCTGGCTTTAATTGGTCTGATCTTTACTTATGCATTAATATGTCCGATGCAGTTAATGTTTTTTACACTGCAATAAACTCATTTTTTAATTCCTGTGTTCCGTGGTACTATCCGTCAACTTCCAATAAATCTCCTTGGCTTAGCAAAGAGTTGACACACTTAAGAAATGTAAAGTCCAGACTTTTTAGGAAATATAAAAATACCGGTTCTCAATCTGTTTTTACTAGATATTTAAGTGCTCGGTCAAGACTTACCGTGCTTAATGCTCAGTGTTATAATAGTTACTTAAACCGTTGTAAGGTCCAGTTCTCTCAGGACCCGAAACAGTTTTATAATTTTGTTAACACCAAGCGTAAATCTAATTCTTTTTCTTTCTGACGTTGGAAAACAAGACGGCAACCACAGATCAAGCAGTAGCCGATTCATTTGCCCAATTTTTTCAAACGACTTACTCTACTTTAGATTATTCATCACAGCCTTATTCTTACACCATGTCCAAGTCAAACCTCATATTCTGTCCCACTTTAACAGAAAACTCTCTTCTTTTGGATCTTCTTCGTATTAAGCCTGTTTATTCGCCAGGGCCCGATGGTATTCCTGGGTGCGTGCTTAAGTATTGCGCTAATGCCCTGTGCAAACCTCTTCACAAGTTGTTTACCTTATCTCTAGAAACCTCCCAATTCCCAAATATTTGGAAGGAATCATTTGTTATTCCTCTTTTCAAAAAGGTAACAAGTTAGAGGCCAGTAACTACAGAGGTATTTCTAAGTTGTCAGCTATTCCTAAGCTTTTTGAAAAAATTATTACTCCTCATTAGCAGCACCTTTGCAGATCAATCATTTCTCCGTGTCAACACGGATTTATAAAACGTAGATCCACAATCACAAACCTTCTAGAGCTCACTTCATTTGTGATAAAAGGTTTCAATAGTAGTTTTCAAACAGACGTCATTTACACTGACTTTAGTAAAGCATTTGACTCTGTAAATCACTTACTTCTCATTCAAAAACTTGACCTTTTAGGTTTTCCAGTTGATCTGCTTAAATGGATTTCAAGTTATCTAAATGGCAGGTCACAAAGGGTACTTTTTAAAAATTCAATTTCTGAAATTCTCCGTGTTACCTCCGGTGTCCCACAAGGGAGCCATCTGGGTTAGAGGTGCAAAAACATCGATGTTCGTGCCCATCGATGTTTTCGATGTTTAAAAAAAAACATCGAGTGAAACATCGATGTTTTAAAAAAAGGCAAAACAGTACAAACGATAACAATGAGGTTTATTTGAGATCAATTAAAGTGTCTATTTTTGTTGAGGAAAAGAAGTTTATCAACAACTTCAGGTTTAAGCCTTGTTCTGCGATCAGATACAGTTTGTTCAGCTTTGCTGAACACCCTTTCAGACTCATGGGACGAGGCTCGTACACAGAAATATTTTTTTGCAACCAATTTTAATTCATTGTCATCAGTCATCTGTAAAAAGTATTTCTTATTTAACATGTTTGTCATAATTATTTGAAAATCATACCTCCCAATACTTTAAGGGGTCGCAAGTGTCAGGAGTGTTTTCCTTTTGGCATCGTCTCGGGTGGACACACCACCAACACCACCAACTAGAAATCCTAAATATAATCAACAATTTTGTAAGTTGTAAGAAAAAAAATTAAGAAATTAATTTACTTACAATTTGTTCGCACCGAGCGCAGAGTTGTTAGTGAAAACATCGATGGTGGTCACGAACTATCGATGGTTTCGATGTTTTGAAAACATCGATGTTATGTTATGTTTCTGCACCTCTAATCTGGGTCCGTTACTTTTTACATTATTTATTAACGATCTTCCCTCAATTATAAGTCATTCTCGCGTACTTATGTACGCAGATGATGTTAAGTTGTGCCTGCAGTAAAGGACATTTCCTGCCATTTAAACTTGCAATCCGATCTAGATAATTTTTAAAACTGGTGCCGAGATAATTTACTACATTTAAACGGTTCCAAGTGCAAGCTGATGACTTTTTTCTGGCCAATCCGATATACGCGACTTACACGTTAAGTGGCAGCTCTTTGGATAGAATAACTCTTGTAAACGATCTTGGCGTTCTCTTGGACCCTAAACTAAAATTTTATAATCACATTTCGTCCATGGTAAATAAAGCCAGAGGAGTGCTTGGATTTATTAAAAGGTAGTCAAAAGAATTCGATGATCCTTATTTGACTAAAACTTTATTTATTTCGCTAGTCCGTCCGATTCTGGAGTATGGGTCTCCCGTCTGGAGTCCACAATACGGTCGTATTGAATCTGTACAAAAAACTTCCTTCTTTTTGCTTTACGGCGCCTAAACTGGCGTGCAAATCTTATCTTACCTTCTTATTCTAGTAGACTTCTTTTGATTAATTTACCATCCCTAGCCAACCGTAGAACGATGCTTGGTACTATCTTTATTTATAACCGTATACATGGTGATATTGACTGCCCCGACTTGTTAAGTCGGCTAAACTTTTCTGTGCCAAGTAGATTAACTAGAAATTATTTTCCCCTAATTTTAAATCATTGTAGATCTAACTATGCCTTGCATTCAGCCTTTCAGAGTATTATTTTCTGACTATAATAGACTTTTTCCTGTAATATCAAATCTTGACTCTCTGCCGCTCTTAAAACGATTGATACTTGCTTCATTGGCACAAGATTGAGCTAACTATTACTTTTTTCCCCGGACCTTTACCTTTATTTTCCTATCTCGCGTCTATCTTATCGCGAATCGTGCCGTACGATACACGGCTGCGCCCCTCGGTCGGTTGGGCGGGTAAGTGGGCCGTGGGACTCCGCGCGAAAAAAAAAGAATTAATACCATTTTATTGACGATCAACATAAATGCGACATATATGTTGGGTATATATCAACTATTAATTTCTTGTATTTTTATGAAATTAAATACTAAATATAAAATACATTTTGTGTAAGCCGAAGTTTTAATACCCTTGCAGACTTGCCGAAATTTGCTAAATGTAAAAAAGTAGTGAAAGGAATAAGGTATACATAAGTAAACTAGATTTGCATCGTTTCAAGTCAATTGCTTTTATACTGCAAAAATGTCATATACAAATAGAAAACAAGAGAAAACGCTATAGTCGAGTGCCTCGACTATTAGATACCCGTTACTCAGCTAAAAAACTTAATATAAATATGCCTTCTTGTGTTTTTTTTTTTTTTTTTTTAACATAATGTGAATTATAGTGACCACAGGAAAAAAGGACAAAAAGTTCAAATTATCAATTTGAATTCGGTGATCTCTTAGTGCTGGCAGCTTTACAGCACGAGCATCAGCACCAGCGCTGCTTTAGCGCGCAGATTTGTCCTGCACCAGCAGCTGGGTTTATGTTTATGTTTTTGAGTGCAATAAATTGACTAGAAATATTAAACATACTTACTTATATTGGCTAAACACATACATTCTTAAATAGTATTATGTATATTAAAGTCTAAGTGTTTGCACAACACGAGTAACGGGTATAGCGAATAGCTTTCTTTGAAAGGAGTTATCTTTGCCGGGCAATTGCAACTGTGTACAATGTAAATACATACATATGTATATGCTTACATACATACACACATACGCCATTGCTTGACTCAGTCCTCCAATTTGGCTAACTAGATTTGATTTGCATAGTTCCTGGGATATAGTTCGGTATTGACAAATGAAAGCCATCGCAATTTCCTTGTATAGAAATCCTTATCGAGAATTAACGTTGACTCTGTTGAGCACCTTGGCCAGCTGTTCCAAAGTCATCCGTTAGATGGCGCCATGAAAGGCGGAAATGTAGGCGCTAGCCAGGCTTAAGCGTTTAATGGGTTTTTGGGCGTTAGAGTGGGCGTGGCAAACTTTTATTAGGCCAATCGATATTTATTGACGAAACAAATACATATCAATTAAAATTTTCATAATATCATCAAAACTGTGGCCACAGCTTGTGGCTTGTGGGCGTGGCACCATTTTGAAACAAACTTGCGCTGCGTAGGAACTCCTAAAATCTACATGCAAAATGCCAGTCTTCTAGCTTTTATAGTTTCCGAGATCTCAGCGTTCATACGGACGGACAGACAGACGGACAGACGGAGAAACGGACAGACGGACATGGCTGGATCGACTCGGCTAGTGATCCTGAACAAGAATATATATACTTTATAGGGTCGGAAACGCTTCCTTCTGCCTGTTACATACTTTTGCACGAATACTCTTTACTCTATATACTCTACTTTTACTCTACGAGTAACGGGTATAAAAAGGGATACTTTCGCAGCCTTTAAAAATTTTTCCTATCTCCTTTAAGATATAGACTACCGAGCGGCAAGCGCTTTTACCCTAATCAAGATATGCGTAAATAAATAAGAATTGGAAAAATTTATGTTAGTAGCTTACACACTGCGCGAAATATTCTGATAATCGTCAAATTTGGACCGATTTCACCCTATTGTTCCTATGGGAGCTATATGATATAGACGTCTGATCGGCACGCGCTTTCACCTTGATCAATGTATGCATAAAAAATACGATTTGGAAAGATTCATGTCAATAGCTTGTATACTGCGCGAAATATCCTAAAAATCATTAAATTTTAACCGATTTTACCCTTTTGTTCCTATGGGAGCTATAGGATATAGACATCCGATCGGGCCGGTTTTCAAACTTGATCTGCGTACACTTGTTTTAGGACGACTGTGAAAGTTTCAGATCGCTAGCTTTTAAACTGAGCACGCAAACGGTATTGAAACAGACGGACAGACGGACAGACGGACGGACGGACAGACGGACGGACGGACGGACGGACGGACAGACGGACGGACGGACAGACGGACATGGCTATATCGACTCCCCTATTGATCCTGATCAAGAATATATATACTTTATAGGGTCGGAAACGTCTCCTTCACAGCGTTCCAAACTTCTGACCAAATTTATAATACGCTCTGCAAGGGTATAAAAAGATTAGCTATACGTAATTAATTTCATTTTTACATAGCGGATGTAGTATGTACTTGACTGATTGGCAGCAACTTTTACCCTAAGCAAGGTATACATAAATAAATTAGCTAAATTGCATAGTTTCATGCCAATAGCCCTTATACTGCAAAATTGTCATATACAAATAGAAAACAAGAGAGAACGCTATAGTCGGGTGCCCCGACTATCAGATACCCGTTACTCAGGTAAAGGGAGTGCGAGGGAGATGGAGATAGAAACTTTGATCACGCATAACTTTTTAACAAATGGTCCGATTTGAAAAATTTCTTCTACATTTCGATAGGTATTGATAAACACAATAAAACTGCATTTTTACTTTTCCGAAATATTTAAATTTTTAAATTCGTATATAAGCAATTGTGGGCGTTAAAGGGGGCGTGGCACCTTTTTGAAACAAACTTGCGCTGCGTAGGAACTCCTAGAATCTGCATGCAAAATTCCAATCTTCTAGCTTTTATAGTTTCCGAGATCTCAGCGTTCATACGGACGGACAGACGGACAGACGGACAGACAGACAGACGGACAGACGGACATGGCTATATCGACTCGGCTAGTGACCCTGATCAAGAATATATATACTTTATAGGGTCGGAAACGCTTCCTTCTAGCTGTTACATACTTTTGCACGAATACAATATACCCTTTTACTCTACGAGTAACGGGTATAAAAAGGGATATTTTCGCAGCCTTTAACAATTTTTCCTACGGAAGCTATACGATTTAGACGTCCAATCGGCAAGCGCTTTTACCTTGATGAAGGAATGCATAAAATAATACGATTTGAAAAAATTTAAAGCTATAGCTTTTACACAGCGCGAAATATTCTGAAAAACATCAAATTTGGACCGATTTTACCCTATTGTTCCTATGGGAGCTATAGGATATAGACGTCCGATCGCCACGCGCTTTTACCCTGATCAAGGTATGCATAAAAAAATACGATTTGGAAAGATTCATGTCAATAGCTTTTACACTGCGCGAAATATCATCAATTTTTGCAAGATATATCCAATTGTTTCTATGGGAGCTGTAGGATATAGACGTCCGATCGGGGCGATTTTCAAACTTGATCTGCGTACACATGTTTTAGGACGAGTGTGAAAGTTTCAGATCGCTAGCTTTTAAACTGAGCTCGCAAACGGTATTGAAACAGACGGACAGGCGGACATGGCTATATCGACATGGCTATATCGACTCCCCTATTGATCCTGATCAAGAATATATATACTTTATAGGGTCGGAAACGTCTCCTTCACTGCGTTACAAACTTCTGACCAAAATTATAATACCCTCTGCAAGGGTATAAAAAGGGATACTTTCGCAGCCTTTAACAATTTTTCCTATCTCCTTTAAGATATAGACTACCGAGCGGCAAGCGCTTTTACCCTAATCAAGATATGCGTAAATAAATAAGAATTGGAAAAATTTATGTTAGTAGCTTACACACTGCGCGAAATATTCTGATAACCGTCAAATTTGGACCGATGTCACCCTATTGTTCCTATGGGAGCTATATGATATAGACGTCCGATCGGCACGCGCTTTCACCTTGATCAATGTATGCATAAAAAAATACGATTTGGAAAGATTCATGTCTATAGCTTGTATACTGCGCGAAATATCCTAAAAATCATTAAATTTTAAGCGATTTTACCCTTTGGTTCCTATGGGAGCTATAGGATATAGACGTCCGAATGTCACGCGCTTTTACCCTGATCAAGGTACGCATAAAAAAATAAGATTTAGAAAGATTTATGTCAATAGCTTTTACACTGCGCGAAATATCTTCC